ACATTGTATTTAAATTTGGTTGTGAAAGACTAATTATTAAAGATTTTTATATATTATTAAAAAATTAATTTTAATTACATTTACAAGTCAAATGTCTAAAATATATTATTATTAAAATAAGTAAGACAAAAATAAAATTTAATTTTCTTTCAATTAGAAAGTTTATTTTTTTTTTTGTTTGAAACTAAAATGGTTTTTGATTTTTTTTATTTTATTTTTTTTTTTTTTTTCAATTAAAAAGTTGATGACCTTTATTTACTATAAATATTGCACTATAGTATAAAATACTGATTATTCAAACAATGTTTTATATTAATTGTATAAAATTTATTATACAACATGTTCGAACACTTCAACATACACTTATATTGTATGACATAAACGAACATTTGTATATTTATTGTTAAATAATACTTTCTTGTCAATTGAAAATGTTGTGGAAGTAAGAAATTAAATAAGGAAAGTACAATATATTAATATATATATATAAATTTTTAGTTTTCAAGGAATAATTATCAATTTATTGTTAAAAATAAAATAAAATATAAAAATAAAAAGCAAAATAAATTGTTGTTGAGCATAATTTAATGCAAAAATGTATTTTTAATCGATTATTTTTTATACATTAAAGTCGTATAACACATTTGATATTTACTTATAGTTATTTAATTTCTGTTTTATCACAATATGAACAAAAAACACCAATATACTGATACCATATATAGCGTGACTATAAATCCTGCCCCACGGAATCAAATTCTATACTTAATATACTTTGATTTTTAATTATTGATTCGAATTTCCGATTTTAAGTCGATTGTATTTTGTATTAAAATAGGATAAATAATTATATTCTTTTGTTCGTTATAGAGATAAATTTATCACTGACAGGTTAAAATTTAAATAATTTATTTTATATTTTGATTAAAAAAATAAATGTAATTGAATATTTTAAAATTTCTAATTTTCCGATTATACTTAATGGCGCCCGAGCATGTATCAGAAATATAAATGTTACAGTGTATAGGAAGAAAGTCTTAATTTATTTCAATTATATACAATTTGAATAAATATTATCTGTATAATAATTTGTTGACATATTTGTAGGAGGAAATGTGGAAAATGTATGGGAATACTTAATAAATTAGAAAATTGGAAAGTGTCCAGTAGGAAGATTAATATTTAATTCTACTAATTTAGTTCTGCTCTATAGGTATTTTAAAATTTCCTCTATGATTCAGATTAACTTATTGAAAAAAGTTAATTGTAGAGGAAATTTATTAAAAAAAAACTGATGTTTTTATGAAAAGGATATTTAATTTCATTCTTTAGGTTTTTTTAATATATTGAGTTCGAATTTTCGGTTAATTATAACAGTGATTGATATGATCAAATTATTTATCTCATTCAGGAGTCAAAAATAGCTTTTTACAACTTTTTATTATAAATGTTTTAAGTATTAAAACTCAATTACATTAAATAGCGTATTATAAAAATTTATTCATTAAACACAAACTGCTATACAACAAGTTTAAGTATTATACAACTAGAACAACATTTGCTTACAATATTAAATACTGTGTTTGAAACAGTAACAGATTTACTACACTTTATTCGGATTTTATAACCCAAAGCAATTGCAATACACCATTGCACAACATAAGTATATTTTGTACGCAATTCTAATTAATTGTATATTTTAGTTTTAAATTTAATTATAATAAAATATAAAAATAAAAATGTAAAAATATACTTTACAATTTTTTAAATTATTATTCAATTTTAATTAAAAAAAATAAAATTAAAAGGAAAAACAATTTTTTTCCTCACTAAATTTTTGTATATAAAAAAAAATTCGTATTTTATCGCTTATTTATGAATAAATAATTTATTTTTGTTTTGGTATTTTCATTATTTCTTTCACTTCATTTTATTCTCATTAATTATAATATATTATTTTTTTATGCAAAACTGATATTTATTCTTTTCAATTCAAAAATAAAATTCTTAATTTTTAAAATATTCTGTTTTAAGCTATAAATATTAGATTTACTTAATCTATATAGAAAACTATACTTAGATGGCTTTTAAAAATCACAAAAAAAAAATACAAATCCTATCTTTAACTATACCTACAGAAAAAAAACTAAATCAGTGTCTTTACCTTTTAAAGAGAAATTTAGAATTTTATATAAAAAAAATTAATTATACAAAATCTACCATAACCAAAAAAAATTGATTGAATTTTGAAATTAAAAAAATTTTATTTATTAAAATTGTTCAATATTCTAATTTTAAGGGGGAAATACTTTTACAAAATAATAGTAATCGATTGATCAATAGTAATTAATATTAAGTAATAGTAATTATGAAGCAATTTCAGTTTTATTAATTAGATGATGTAAGATGAAGAATTTTACTAACAAGTCATCTTATTATTTTAATCGTCATACTAAATTATGAGCAATATAGTGAAATTATTATGAGTAGGGAAGTTAAATCATACTTTAATGAAAATTTTCAACAGATTCTTATTGTACATTTTATTAAAATTTAAAATCTTTGAGTTATGGAGTTGTGAATTGAGGATAATATTTTTGACTATTCAAAAATATGATTATTCAAAAAATTTTTGAAATAAAGTGCTTATTCCAATTAAATTCAATTCATCAAATTAAAATATTATAAATTAAAAACAAATTTTCTCGAAAATCGTCTATAAATTTTTTCTTTAGACCTTCTCAGTATACCTTGAAAGTTTGAATTTTTCAAAAGATATGATTTCAGGCTGCCTGATTATTAGAGAAATAAAATTTTTAATTTCGCAATCAATAATTTTTATACAGTTTGTTTTAGTAATTATTTTTAAAATTTGATTACTTTTATAAAAGAATATTATAAGTAAGTACTTACTTGTCTAAATTTTTATTTTTATTTTGAATCTATAAATAATGCCAATCATTTAGAATTAAACAAACACCTAGGAATGTAAAAATTCTGTTCAAATAAATTTTGAATTCTAACTAATTAACTTAAATAAAATACTTGAATAAAAAAAGAAATTCAAGAAACAAAACCAATAATTCGAATACAAAAACAAAAATTGTTCAAACACAAATATTGTTATATTATAAAAAATATGTGCACAAAAATGTACATATATATCTATGTATTATTTGATTCACATGTATGAGTACGTACGCATATTTACTAAGTATAATTTCACGCTAAATATTTTAATTTTATTTTAATTACTTATGTATATTTAGCTTTTGATCGAAACTTTGCTACAACAAAATATTTTCCTATACAATATAAATAGTACAGTTAAAATAACAAAAATATGAAACATAATAATTACATAATTACAAAATTTAAAAACCTTATTTAATTAATATTTTAAAATTAATTAAAAAATATTATATACAATACATACTAATTAAATTTTTTTTTTTTTTAAATAAAAGAAATACCAAACATATAAAATTCAAATGCTCAAATTAAAAAAAAAAAAAAATAATAACAATACTTTTTTTTTTTCTTGTTCTCATTGTTTGCTTTATTTTCTACTATGAAATCGTGTCTATATTTATTTTAAAATGTTATATTTTATATACATATAGTTACATACATTCGCACCTACACAAAGGAAATCGAACTTCAAAGCAACGTGTATGATTTAGATAGATTATTTTGTCACACGATTCGTTCAAAGTTGAAAGTTTTAAAATACATATTTGAATTTTCTGTTTGTAATGCAAGTTTTATTGTTTTTGAATAACAAAAATATTTTTACTTATTTTAATAACTTATTTAATAAATATTTAAATAAGTTTTAAATATACTCGTAAGAGAACAAGGAATATTGTAGTTAAATTAAAATCAACGTCAATACATTTAAGGTTTAAGGAAGACATGCAACATTTAGTTTTAAAATTACTCGTATTAATTGTAAAATCGTTTTGCGCACTAAGCGACCAAACTATTGTATCAATTCAAATCGATTGCGTTAACTAAAAATTGCAATTGGTTTGTAAAAAATTACAAATTGTTTGATTGCTTAATTGTATGCAATCATACAGTTACATGTATGTGCCTATAGAACAAAAAAATAAGGAATCAAACAGTTGTAAACCCAAAAAATTGCATGTCTGTCTGAGCCCTAATAATTACAAAAAAAAAAAAAAAGTTATTTTCAATTGTCTTAACAAGGTTAATTTGACGGCATCCTTAAATTCTAATTGTAAAATCTTAAAAATAAAACAATTGATGAATTTAAAAATTATATGCATAAAAGTTCGATTTTCTGCCTATGTATTGCCTATGTATACATTTAAAAATAAAAAAATATTAATTTTCTAAAATATATACAAATAAATATAGTTATGTATCATGTTAGTTGAATGTTAGTTACAATAATTTATATATAGAAATTTTTATTTTCTTTTTATTTTTTGACTGTTTTTTAAATATAATTTTTTATTTAATTATTACAAAAAAAGTATTGTTAAATAAAGTTCACAAATTAAATTTATAATTTTAAAATTATTGTTACTTATTGTTTTTTAATTTTTAATTTGTTTGTTTTTTTTAGTATTTAAGTAATAAATTTTTAAAAAACAAAACACACACTTGATCTGACTCTATAGAATTTAGTTAGAATAAATTTGTTCTATTTAATATATAGATTTTCAAAATTATTGTTAATAAATTGTATATGAAAAAAAAAAAAATATGTTAGAATTTTTAATTTTTAATGGTTTATGTTGTTCATTTTTAAATACACCTTTAATTTACACTTTGTTGTGAAAAATAATGTTCAAGTAGTGAACTTATATGGTTTTTATATATATATATATAAATTTTTTATATTTTTATTTTTTCTATTATTATTAATTATTATTTTTTTTTTTATTTTAAATTTTATTTTTATTATTATTTTAAATTTAATAATAAAAAATTTAATAATAATTTTTTTTTTGTTTTATAAATAAAATTAGGTGCTGTCTATGAGCACAGATGATTATAGAAAAGCATCTTTATTTGCATCAAATTCATTTGATTTAGATTTTCCAATACCAGATTTAATTGGAACAACCGAAATTTTAACAGAAGAACACAGGTAAAATGATTAATTTTTTCTTATTAAATATTCAATTTAAAACACAAATAATTTATTTTAATTACTTACTAATTTCTGTTATTTTTTTTGTTTTTTAACAGAGAAAAATTATGTAGCCATTTACCAGCAAGAGCAGAAGGTTATTCATGGTCATTAGTATTTAGTACATCACAACATGGTTTTTCATTAAATTCGCTATATAGAAAAATGCAAAGGCTTGAAAGTCCAGTTCTTATAGTTATTGAAGATACTGAACATAATGTAATTTAAAAATAATTTATTAAATATAATATTTTATTAAAAAATATTATTATTTTTTTTTTTTTTAGGTTTTTGGAGCTTTAACATCATGTTCATTACATGTTTCTGATCATTTTTATGGTACCGGTGAATCATTATTATATAAATTTAATCCAAGCTTTAAAGTTTTTCACTGGACCGGTGAAAATTTATATTTTATAAAGGGTAATCCTGAAAGTTTGTCAATTGGTGCTGGGGAGTAAGTATTCATTTTAATGATTTAATATTAAATAAAAAATTAAAAAAAATTAAAATAATTAATGATTAATTAAATAATATTATTAAATTGTATGATTTTGTATTTTTAACATTTTGCATTATTAAATTTTTAATTAAAAAATTTGATAAATTGTACTATTCTATTTTATTAGTACTATCATATTTTAATAATTTTTTAAATTAAAATAATTAGTCCTTAAAAGAAAATTATATTAATCACAAATTAATTTTTTCATTTATTTTTAGTGGTAAATTTGGCCTGTGGTTGGATGGAGATTTAAATCAAGGTAGATCACAAACATGTAGTACATATGGTAATGAAACACTTGCACCTCAAGAAGATTTTGTTATAAAAACACTCGAATGCTGGGCATTTGTTTAAAATTCAACAATAAGAAAACAAAAAAAAAAAAAACAATTACTTCATTTAATAAATATAGAGACACATTTATATGCTATTATAAATATATATAAATATATATATAAATTTATATACACAATAATATATATATATAAAAAAATATAATTAAAATTATTAATTTTTTTTTTTTTGCAAATTCTATTTAAATAATAAAAATGAAAAAAAAAATTACATTATACAATTATTATACAAAATATAGAAAATATACATAAATTTTTGATTTAAAAAATAAAACAAGAAAAAAAAAAAACATTTTTCTTTTAATTTCACTTTTTATTATAAAATTAAATATAAGGCTTAATATTATCATTATTATTATCATTATTACTATGATTATCTATGATTATATATACATATATATTAAATTTTTTTTTTTAATTTTAATTGTGTATACATAAAAACAAAGTAATTATTTATATTTAATATTAAAATTTAAATGAGAAAATAAAAATTATGATTTTATATTATATAAAAAAAAAAAAAAAGAAAAATTTACATGAATTTCATTTATAATTTTATTCATTCTGGTTTTAAATTGATTTATAAACTAAAAAATTAATTATATTATTTAATTATAGTTAATTACTTTTTTTTAATTTGTTTTTTTTTTTTTTGTAACTAAGATTTATAATTTTCATAATTGTATGTTGTTATAAATAAATGAAAAAAAAAAAAAGAAAAAAAATATATAAATTTAAATGATTATAAATATTGTAATTGTAACCTGAAATTCAGAAACTAATATACATATACATCAAAACTATAAATTAACAATTAACAATTATTATACATAATATATACATTTATATAAATATATAAATATATATATATGAATATACTTAATAAAAGAACCATAATATTATGTAATAATGTACGCTAGTATTAAAGAAACAAAAAAAAAAAAAATCAAAATAAAATTTATTAGTTTATAAATGTTTATAAAAAAAGAAAAAAGAAAAAGAAATTAATAAAACTAAAATTGCATATTCAAATTTGATCCTTTTTAAAGCCTCTTCCCCAAATTCATATATACATATACATATATATACATTTTATTTATAATATAATTTTTGGAAAACAAAATAATAAAAAAAACCTAAAGATATTTAATCAATTCAAATAGTTTTTAAATATTTTGAATTTGATAAATCCAAAAACCTCATCAATTTAAAAATAGTAAGAAAATAAAATTTTGTAAAATAGATTTTTTGTTTTATATTTGAAAATGGTAAAACGAAAGCGTGCATAGTTTCACATAAATGAGCACTTAATCTGTTGTTCGATTTTTCTTTTTCTTCAATTTATTTTTAAAATTTTTATAGAATTTACATTAATATAATTACACTAATATATATGTGGTACATTTTTATCATATAAACTAATTTTCTAATGTACATATTTATCATATTTTTTTTGTGAAATTACCTTGAAGAAATGTTTTTTTTTTTTAAGAAGAAAACGAACCGATACAATGTCGATTTTATTATTATACTTATTAATTTTTACAGATTTTTTTTTTTTTTTTCAAAAAATATATTTTAAAAATTATTTTTAATATTATTCATATATCGTATTGAAAATAATGCTATAAAAATGAGGTTTATAGAGTATTAAAATTATGATAAGGCATTTAATTATGTTTATGAAATTCTTAGGTTCAATATAATTTATAGTTGTTATCGTAATCGAAATTTAAAAAAAAAATTAAACATAAAAAACAAATTGTATAAATTACAAGAAATTTAAAAAAGAAAATTAATTATTGCATAAATCATAAATTTTGTCATCTTTTTTCTTTTAAATTTTATCATCTGTTATAAAATATATAATTTTATTTTTTTTTTTTTTTTTTGCAAAAAAATTCAAATTACTACTTGATCAAAATTGAAAACCAATAGAAATAAATAAATTGTAATAAAATGGAATTCTGTGGTATTTTAAAATGGAAAATAAAAGAAGTGCGCCGCCAGTCATTCAAAGTAATATTTAAAATAATAATAATTACAAAACAAATAAAAATCACTTTTTTACATCAAATTTTGTAATTTATTTACATTGCTAATTTAAAAAATAATAAAAACTGTATATTATATATTATTTTTTTTTTTTTTTTTATATATAAAATATGGGATCACTATCTAAATTTAGATAAAAAAAAAAATTTTTTTAATTTTTTCTTCTTTACAATAAAAAAATCATTTTATAGTAAAATAATATTGTTGAAACTGCTTTGTATTAATAAAAAAAAAAAATTTCTATCAAATGAAAACAAAATACAAAAAATTTTTGCAAAATATTACATTTGTATGATAAAGTGCGCCTAATTTTTATTCAAAATTTACAAAAAAAACACAATACTATAATCCAAATCCAAAATTAAATTTTTAAAAAATAACTAACTAAACAAACAAAAAAAAAGGAAAAAGTACTGTTAAATAAATTTTGTTGTATGCAACTAATAATTAAAATTCAATAAATATTAAAAAAAAAAAAAAATAAAAAAAAAATGTAGTTTATAAAAGAAAATGTAATAAATATAATTTATGTGTGCTATATAAGAAGCGAAATATTCGTAATTAAACAAAAAAAAAACAAGAGAAAAACTAAAACTAACAAAAATACAAAAGAAAAAAAATTAAAGTTTATTAAAATGCAGAAAAAAGAAATGAAAATATTAAATATATTTATGAAATTAAAAAAAAAATTAATTTGGTTTTATTTAATTTCCATTGATTTTTATTCTCATTTTCTTTATTTTTTTTTAAGCGTTCTTACGAGTCTTTTTTTTTAAATCTTGTTTTTTTTTTTTTAAATATACAATCAACATCCTCAACTTATCTTAGTGCAATTACTTGGATTTTAATAAAGTAGCTGTTCTACCATTTGGTAAGAATGCAGTTTTGGTTTTTAATAATTAATTGATTTTTAATAATTAAATAAACAGAAAGCAAATTAATAAGAAAAGAGAATTGTCTTTTAATGTAAGTAGATACTATTTCTCCCCTTTATTACAAAGTCAAACAAATTTTTGTTTCTTTGTGTTAAAAATAAAGCAAACTGCTTTTTATAAATTGCATTCAATTGCTTTTCATAAATGATAATGCACATTATAGCCATAGGGCCTAGACTCATGAAGAAAAACAAAAATAAATTTTGCAATTAATAAATATGTAGTATAATTTTTTCAACCTAAAATTTTAAAGTTCAAATTAGTAATTTCAATTTAATTATTTTATTAGCTAGTATGAGGATATTCCGAAAAGTTCTAAATTTTTTGAATAACAACCCATCACATCAATTTAAACTACTAACCCCGTATATTGATAATTAAAATTCAACATAATTTATTTATTAAGAATTTGAACATTGAATTATGAAGGTTGATTGTATATTCTTAGATCGTGTTATTTTTTATTTATATTAAAAATTTATTTCCTTTTCGAATATGTATGTATAATTTTATTTAAAATTTATAAATACATAAACCAATGTAAATAATTTATAATTATATAAAATATAGAAAAGATAATTTTTAGCTTTTGGTTAAAATAATTGAATATAATAAATGTTTGTTTTTGTAGCAAAATTTTTAATTTTTTTTTTTTGTTGCCGAAGACTAGGTAAATTTTTTGGAATTTTATTTGGAAATTTGTTTAGAAATTTGGAAAAAACAAATTGGAGATTGTCAATTAACGGAAAACAAAAAAAAAAATATATAAAAATAAGTATGTATAAATATTTAAATTTATATAAATGAGAAATATTACTTAAGTATGTATAAATGTAGTTAAAAATTTTGTAGAATATCGCGCGAATATTTCTTTTTATTGCTTTTTGCTTTAAAAAATTTATGATAAGAATTAATCTAAAACATATACATATACATATATCAAAATAATGCTGTTTTTTTTTTTAATAATGTGAGTAATTTGTTAAAAAAAAGTAATTAAATTTAATTTTTGTTTTTATTTCTGCTGATATATTCCTTTTTTTCAGTTTAGGTAAACTATTGAAAATTAAAAATTTTAAATATGAAATACATAATAGTTATGGCGAAATGTGTAAGTAGTAAAGAATCATTTTGAAATGGAACATTAATTTTTATAAATTTATACTCTGGGGGGATGCGCGGGGTTTGTAAAATCAAATTGGGAAGGTTTTTTATTTAATAAAAATTTAATTTTTCACGATTATTGTTGGTGATGGATTGTTATTTAAAAAATTTTAGAGTTTTTCAGAATAAAATAAATTTCAAAATTTGAAATTCTACACTAAAAACCAAAATACTTGTCAATAACACTCCGTCACCTCAAGTGGTGCGACTAAGACAACTAAACTAAACTGAACTGGGTAACTAAATATATTACATTATATGAATCATCAAATGCATTTAAAAATGTTGAAATAAACCAAAGTTAAATGGTCAAATAAATTTGATTTTATGATAAAAAACAAATATTGAACTTTTTTATTTAAACGATAATCATATGTGAAAGCCTTGCCGTCTCACAATCATCTCCTTGCTAATTGTTTTTCTTTGTCGTTCTTGAATAATAAAATAACTGGAACTATTATCTATATTACTTTAAATGAAATTCAATCTCACTTAAAATTACTCCTTTTAAAAATTTGCTTGAATATATTGAAACAGATGCCTGTTTACCTTTCACAAAGTGATTTCGAATGCAGGAATATTAAAGTCTAATATTTCAAATTGTTTTTATTTAACTGAATTGTATATATTGTTTTGTGAAATTCAGACTATCATTAAGTTTTACTAATCCCAACGCAATTATTTATACTAAAAGATTTATGAATGATGTTACTTTCAATATGTCTTAAAAATAAGTAGGTATTTATGTATATGCTCCGTAACAAGAAACAAAAAATTTCGGTAAGTTAAACTAAAAATTAAATGTAATTAGTTATTATTGATATATCTATAATTAATTACTGGTATTTACATAAGAATAAAAGTAATTCTTAAAGTAGGATCA